ATTAAGCCCATTTGTTAAAAAAGCAGCAACAGACAAAGGCATATGGAAAAACTGAAGGATACTAATCTATCATAGAAGCCAAATATGCTGGCAATATTCACTGAGCTTTATACTAAAAGCTTGATCTAATCATAATAAAACACAAGTCATGTCAAATATTGGCAGCTTCCCTAAGCCCTTAAAGGAACATAACTCTATAAAATCAATGTAATAAAAGAATTAACATTGAAAGTCTTCTGGTTGATGCCATAGGGTCCATCTACACATATGGTGCTAATGTTTGAAACTTTCCATTTTGAAGTCATTAATGATATTTAATACACGATTACTCTTTCTTTTGTGTATGGAAGTTACTTAAACACCATTTGATGCTTCTTCTCAACCTACACTTTCTACTTTCAAGCAACTCTCCTCATCTCTCTTTCTAACATGATTTATTTTTATTCAGATGAATAAATGTCAGCAAATAAAATGCTTATATCCACTGTGTACAATTTGTTTCTGTACAATGGAAATCATACTGGAGATGGCCTTTCTGACACCTCTTTGGCTGATGCTGCTACTTGAACCCTGGCAGGGTCAAGGACTACCACAGACTTCACCCTGGAAGGCTGCCAGCAACAACAAGTGTTCATTTCCAGGCAAAGACTGCTTTGCTAAGGCTGTTTCAGGGAGAAAGTACCAGCAATTCACATATTTAGGCCCCCTTTCGAAACTAACAAACAGGAAAACTCAAACAAAATACACAAAATACACACACACTTTTCTCTGCCTAATTCTAATCACCAGAAGGAATAGTAACAAAAACAAAATTCCAAAGGTAGAAAAATAACATGGTACTGCTGTGTAAGAGCCCTCTGCGCTACAGAAATAATACACATTTAGCAATGCGGCAAGCAAATCATTTACTCTCTAGTGGCCTGTATATGTTGTTCAAATATTAAATAATAAAAGGTGACACAGTTTTCCATTTCATATCTGTAATATTTTAAGTAGATATCTTCAATAAAGCAGCGCCCAGAGCTCAAATAACAACCTGAAACGGCACGATTTTAACAAAACGCTTCTGTAAAGCCATGCGGCTGCTGCTTTTTTAATCAAATTTCATTTCACAGCAATAATTTTAATAGCTACTTTAAACCCACCCCACTCCCTCAAGGCAATGGTGGGGTCTGATAAAACTAAAATCATGGGCTTGTTTTCTTCTGTGAAAGAAAAAAGCTTCAGTAATAGCTATTTCTTTTATTAGCACCCTGCTGGTTGGTTTATTAAGTATATAAGATAAGGGAAGCAATCATCCCTCACACATCAGGTCGACAAGGAGTGTTAACCCTTACCTGCCTGAAAGTGCTCAGCAGGGTCTTTGCTCCAGCCTCAGGGGCTGACAAATATATATATACAAATATAGAGCGTGTGTAGATACAAGTATTTATGGAAAAGTTCATAACTAAATAAATAAAACCACCAACAGAAGGAAAGGAATGACCTCGCACCTCACGCAACGCCACAGCCAAAAGCAAGGCAGCCGCAAGGGGAGGCGGCACGGACCGGCCTTAAACGGCCCCTCAGAGCGCTACTCTATTGAAAAAATAAAATTTTCCTTTCTTGAGACAGAGAAGGGAGACAGCTCTTCCCAGCCATACGGAGTTGATAGCCAAGAAAACACCACTAACCTGCCGGGAGAACACCAGTCCCTCTCCACAGCCCTGAGGGGCCGGCTCTCAGTCGCTCCCTCACAGCCCAGCAGCCCTGAGGAACGGGACTACAAAGGCTCAAAAAAAAGGTCAAAACGCCTTACCCCACAACTTTCACCCTCAGAAACCTTACAAAGGGCAGGAAATCCCGAAGAGGGGAGCTCCCGTGGCCCCAGAAACCTTAAAAAGGGCGGGAACACCGCCCCCTCACGGCCTCCCGCCCTCAGAAGTTTTAAAAAGGGCGGGAAGCCGTGAGGGGCCGGGTTCCCGCCTCGCTCTCGCCTCAGGATCGGCGAACAGGTGGGGATGTGCCGGCGAAGCCTTGCAGGTGTCTTGTCTCCTCGCCCAATTGTGTTCGGCAAGTTCGTTTTTAGCGATCGCTTTCTGTGTGTTTTTTTTCTGTTTGTTTTTGCTTTTTTGTTGGGTTTTTGTTGTTGTTGTTGTTTGGGTTTTTTTTTTTTATTTTATTGGGTTTTTTTGGTTTTTTTGCCCCAAAAGCCCCCTCAGAGCCTTGCGGGCAGCCTCAAGGGAGAACCGGGTCCGTCTCCTGACAGGGCTGTCAAGGTGAACCAGCCCTTCCATGGGGTGCCTCCCTCAGCCCCCAAACCAGAACAAAACACCCTCAGAATGTCCCATTAAACACACAGAACAGGCTTTTCAGTGTTCCTAGAGCATTTAACGAGAATCTTTTGTGATGTTCCTCAAATGCAAGAAGCGTTCCTCCAATGGTAGAAGGCAGATCAGCATGAAAAGTGGTTTAAAAACAGGCTGGAATCACCAGGTTCTCGGTCTAAATAAGTTTGGGGGAAATAGACAGGGACTGACAACGAAGGCTTGCACTGCCTATGCAAAGTCCACTAGAAAAATTGTGGATGCATTTCTTTGTTGTAGATAATTGCTGAAACGGAGCAAAGAAATATCACAACAGCATTGGCATGAAGCTTGCAAAAGAAAAGGATTGATTTCTACAGTGTGTGCAGGTGTGTATTCTGAGGGGTTTATTAATAAAGTGAGTTCTATTTATAAAGCCTGAGTTTTATTGATAAAATCTGAAGAAACAGGGAAAAGCAGAAACTGACAATTCACTTCAGGGAAAAGCAGAAACTGACAATTCACTTTAACATAACATCTCCAACACTGAATGCTATTTTATGCAGTGTTTGCTTTCCAAAGTCATTTAATCAATACATTTTTAAATATGTCATCTATTATCTATCTCCTGCACGTTTAATGACTGCTATATAGTTGGAAGTCTGGAGGATTCTATGGAATTTCTTATACATGGCTTACAAATCTTACTTAAACCAATTGTTCCTATTCTCAGTCTGAACTTACAGCAGTCTGTGGAAGTCTAATGGCAGTGCTGCCTCCTTGCAGTCTCACAGCATCTCATCTTTAATAACAGACTGAGAATTCTTTTGCTTGTCCCATTTTTCGCTGATAGTGCTACAAGCACATCCTTTTTACTTCCATCTGTCTTCTTTTCATGAATTTCAAAATCTTGTTCTTGCTTTTGATTACTTCTTAAATATCTCTGCTAATATTTGACCCACTATATTCTGCATTTGTGAATTTTAATTAATTAACTTGGCTTTTTAGAGGAATAGTTTTATTCATGATTGGAATCGTTTTATTCATGATTATTGCCAGCTAGATGTCATTTCCAGACCTAAGCATTCCCCAGCACCTGTTAGATTTCCCAGAGAGTGAGAAAAGTAATATCTCAATATATAAAATTCATACTCATTTCTAGTAGCCAAGGTTTGAATGAGAGATGGAGCAGATTATTTTACCCCAAGAAGTTGCTCTAATTCCAAATAAACTTATACTGATATTATTCAATGCTGTCTCTTCACTTTTGCACTGAGCTCCTGCTCCAGATCCAAAAGACCAAACTGCAGCGCTAAACTGGCAGGTCGCTGTCTCTAACAGCAGATACAAGGAAGCATTTAGTAACTCTAAAGCCTTCATGTCCTTCAGGGTGTCCTTTTACCTTACATGTGTCACAAACACGGGAAACACAGCTGGAAATATCACTGTACGAGCACGTGGAAATATCACTGTACGAGCACGGGAAGCTTCTGCCCAGCCATTTAAACAGTTCAGTCTTACTATGTGCTGATGTAACTGTGAAATGTGTTCTCTTTGCACTCCTAATTACCCTAGAACAGATGGGAAGGCTGCTAGTTTAAAGCAAAAAGCCTCTTTTACAGAGTCTGTGGTAATTCCTCACTCTTGAACGAGTTTACTGTGGTCTGTGAGTGTGTGTGGGGAAAAAGGTTTGGATCTGGTTGTTGTTTTTGTTAATTTTTTAAAAGTTTGCTTTCATGTTGCTGACCTAACATTCTAAATAACTCCAGTATGTTTTCAAAGGTTCTTGCTAGATATGAACAGTTTCCAGAGAAGAAATCATCTGATCTAGAGTATGATTTTCTTCTAATTGCAGAGGAAAGATCTCAGGAAATTTGTAATACTCTCTCAAGTTCTGAAAGACCTGTAGAACAACTTTATACTGCTAACTGGGTTTAATATCCTGCTTTTCATTCATGAAAACAAAACCTAGTGTCAAACTTAATATGTTACAAAGTAGGTCTATCCCTGCTTACCAGTTCTGTCAAAAATGTTCTTATGTAATAACAAAGATGTTGTGTCCCTTTTGAAATGCTATCCTTGAATTCCATGTTGGAAACCCCCAGCTCAGGAAAGGCTTTTTGGGAAGTCTTAGTGAGATAATTTTGTGTGAAGTTTTAGCCTGTACCCATTTCATCCCTACAGTACCACCTGTGCAGATTAACAGTGGTATTGCAATGTAAGTCTGCTGAATACATTTCCCAGACACAGAAACAGTGACAGGCTCAGTTCAGAATTCCCACTGATCTTTTCTGCTCAGTGAAGCTTTTCCTTGCCTTTTTTCCCCCCATGTTTCTTCTTGGTAGTGGCCCACTGGCTACTGCCCTCTCTGCTCTGTACCATCCTTCATTTGGTTTTAATTTTTATTTGCAGTGCATGTTTTGATTTTATATAAATCAGTTAAAACACACTGAGAGCCAGCAAAATATAAATTACAGCACTTTTGCAATTTGTTTCTTCTGCATTCTGTTGAGTTTTGTCTGTGCACCGCAGTTCTTGGCCCAAGCTTTGTTCGTGTCTCATGACTTCACAAGTAAACTGAAAGCATAGAAATTCGCTGTGTGGAATTGGCTTGAAAAAATTCTTTGATCTCTGAAACTGCATCAGATATTTGGCACTGCAGACAGGGAGCTCCCGTGGTTTTTGGCACATCTGGAAGCTCCTCTGTACTGGAACTCTGTTGTAGCAATTCGCAGCTGAAAGTGCTACCAGCATTTTCAAAAGCTCGTCTACCTGATTCTTGCCACAGCCCATGAGAATGTGTCAGGGATCTGTGCTCACAGAGAAATCCAGCAGGTCTTCCCCTTTTTGTTTTCTTTTTTTTACACAAAAGCAATAGTGAAGCCTTTCTCACTGTGTCAATTTTCACCCAACTCGATTTTCCAGATAAGCATCCTAGCTGAAAGGAGGTCTCGCTTCACCCTTCAGCTTTCTGCGTGTGGAGATGGAGCTTGGCCAGCTCTGCCCACCTGCAGGCAGGCACTTGTCTCCTCACTGTAGCTGGATCAGCCTCAGCTCTCAACACAGACTTAGCAGCTCTCTGGCTCCACTTGCACACTTGAAAGCTTCCCAGAAGATCACCCAGGGATGATGGATGCAAGGGTACTTGTAAAAGGAGGGAGAAAAAAAAAAAAGAGAAATTACACGGACAGGACAGAAAGAAAACCTAAAAATAAAATAAAATAGGGTCATCAAGATCTTGCCTGAAGCTGTGTAATTCTGCTTTCATTCTTAGTTGAATCTCAGTGGTCCAGTTCTATAGGTGTCACACGAGCTTACAGTTGTTGAGGGGAAAATATACGTATCATAATTCTGATTTTCAGAAGAAATTTAGAGTGAGTACACTGGGACTGGTCATCTTAGCCAATATTTTGTTTGTCCTTTTTCTTCATGAGGTAAGAGATATGATTCTCTAAGCACTTTCCTAATATATTTCTGCTTTTTATTCATCAGTCCTTATCATTGTACTTGGGAGGTTACATGGTTTCAGGATATCCATAGATTTACAATTTCCCTGGTAGCACTGAATAGATTGTGTGTATCCACTGTAAAAAATGATTTTTTTTCCCTACAAAACATCTCACATGTAAGAATGATATTTCATTCTTTTCACATAAAAATTCAAATGTTTTATTCTTACACTCTTTTTAAATATAGATTTTGCTGCCTATATTTGGAGCCAGGATGACTTCTTTAAACGACTCCCTCGTCAGCACCTGACCTGGTGCCCACAGCTACACCAGAACAAGAGATTCTGAAGGTGTGTTTTGTGTCTGCTGGTTCATAAACACTGGGTTGGACCTTGCAGCTAAACTTGTGCCATCTCCTCTGGAAAGTGAGCAGCTGTCCTTTAGCAGAATGCCTTCTTGTGAGGAGTGATCTGCCTCTCTGGGGTCCATTTGGCTCTCATGGTTTTCTTTCCTTTGGAGAAACGGGAAATATTTAGGGATGATGTTCCAGCTGCTTTATTTTGTTTTCATTAAAGCATCCGGCGGGAGAGTGTGGAACTTGATGAGAGATTGCTTTCACTGGAGATTGCTACCACAGACAGATGGGTTCTCATTGCCTGCTGTAGTGGACTACACACTTGCAGGGGTGGCAGTAACACATTTTATTCTGAAAATTAAGAGCCAATCCACCCCTAGGAAACCTGTTTTTCAGCCAGATGTTGTCCCAGACTGCGGCCAAGAGAAGGCAACTTGTAGATCTCTAAAGAATGTGCAATGGATAATATTTAGTAGTATTGTGCTATTTTAAATTCATAGGTGTGAGCTCAAAATATCTATTTTAAGTTGTTATTTCATCTGTCTGATTAATGCAGCTCATTGGTGGAGTTTTCATCCCACCAGGGACCAGGAGAGGAAAGATGAGTGTGATCTCCTCCTCCTCAGTCACGCAGGCCAGAATTCCATGCTTGGCACCTCAGTAGGTACCTCACTACAAATGGTGCTGATGGATCAGGAAGTCAGGTTTGGACAAGATAAGATAGGATTCAGGGTGCTCTGGCTTTGTATCAGTGTGCTGTAATCAATCATCAGGAACTGGAAATGAGAAATTATCACTGCATGACTCGCCAAGGTGCTGGAAGCCAGCAGCAAACACTTCAAGGATGAGTTTGGCATTGTTAGGCCAGTATACAGCTAGTCAAAAAAGCCTGAAAGTACAGCAAAGTTTATATCTTGAATTTTCATTCAAAAAGTAGATCTCCTCAAGTGAAATGCAATTTAGATTATAATGGTCAGGAGAATGGGCTCACAGTTAAAAAAAACCCCAAAATCCCACAATGAATCACAATTATTCTTATCGAGAAGGAGCCTTAAAGCTTGGGAAACACATTGTGACTTCTCTTCTTCTCATAAATGTAGTGGAAAGACAGGAGTGTGGACATGGAAAGTGAAGGGGAAGGTGCCAAAAGGAGGTGAAAGGAAACCAGGAATGTAATAAACAGCAGGCTGGCTTTAGCTGTGCAAGTCTGTGAAGGCTCCTAAAGCAGTGCAGGCCACACATGAATGAAAGGCTTTCACTGCAGCCACAACACCCAGGCCATCCTTCACACAGAGAATTTCTGAGGACAGCTTAATTTGATTGTGTAAATGCCAAACTGTCAGATGGATTCATCAGCCAGAAAGTGGCAGCTTGTGGAAATATTTGTCCATCCTCTAAAGGAGAAAAATGAGGGCATAAAACTGGCAGTGCAAGGGTAATTGTCTGTTCATTAAAGATTGTGTAATGTAAAAGGTTTAAAAGTGGCTTCTGGTTGTTCAGCATGAGCCTCTTACCTTCTCATTAGCACTTTTTAAAGGTAAGATGGGTCTGCTTCTTGCACTGTTGATCAGTTTCTGTGCTTGTCTTCCTTTTTTTGCCTTACTGTAGTGGAAGGGATAATTTCTAGGTGGATGGTTGTCCTCCTGCCATTTAGTTGTAAGCCCAAAAATGTCAGTTCAAGGCATATCTTCTCAAAATATTGTGTTTTATCTCCACTCGCTGTGTATCTGCCTTTAAACAAACATAGATTTACTATGGAACTGCTTGGCCTGGATCTTCAGGCTGCCTCCCAACAGCTACTGCCACGTTTTAGTCCATAAGAAGCAAATGAAAGAAATTCATATTAGTAGGTCAGATTACTTAGGTGAAGGTAAAAATCAGGAGAAGGAACAGGGTTTTTTAAAGCGTTCTTGCACTCTGGGAAACACTTTGGGCTTAATGCTTGTCTGTTTTCTCCCTTTGCATAATTATTATTATCACAACATTATCTGCTGCAAATATGACCTGCTTGGATGAAAGTAAAAAACTAAATGTAAATGTCTTAAAATTTAATGGGAGATGATTTTTTTAAGGATAAAAGCATGGTCCACACATCTCTGCTGCTCTCTGCAGAACAAGGCAACCAGAGAAATCCCCTGCTGTTTCTGAGATGACCATTTAGTCCATCCATGATTAATAAATATTACAAAATATTTATTTTTTCATTTTACATGTGTATCGTGGCTTTTCAAGAATCCTCAGCTTAGAATTAAACGGGGGAGCAGTACTAATAATCGAAGTGTTTGTTCAATAATCATTCAGAGGCAAGATACCTAACAGAGAGCTGCTTGATTAAAAAAAACCCAAAACTGTTATTATGCAATGTGATCCTTGCAAAATAGAGCAAAAGCAGGGATTTGTTCAACACTTGCCATCAGCAGGCTGATGTTTGCCTTCTATCCCAAAAGCAGGACCTCAGCACACACGAGGGTTCCTTGGGGTGGCACAACCACGAACATCTGGATTTCCTCCTCCGTTCCCCAAGCTCTCCTTTCTGAGCACAGCGCCCTTTGGGTCAGTTCAGGTCAGTGCATCGCCTGTGTCCCCTCCCAGCTCCTCACCGTGCCGTGCCCGCCTACTCGCTGAGGGAGCCGGGAGCGAGAGAGGGAGAAAAGCTCTGGAGCTGTGTAAGCTCTGCTCAGCAGCAGCCAAAACACTGCTGTGTTATCCTCACTGCTTCTCTCACAAATCCCAAACGCGGCACCAGACAGGCTGCTGCCAACGGCGTCAACTCCAGCGCAGCCAGACCCACTACAAATAGTTATAAACAATGAACCACGTGGAAAAGCAGCTTTGCAGCAGTCTCTGGGATTTTTCTGGGCTGTCTTCTGGGCTGTTTTGGCGGTGTAGTCCCACTGGTGCTTACCTGTAGTTCTCTCTTGCAGATGGTGCCGTCAGCTCTTTGGGAAGCTGTCCTTAGATAGGAGCCAGCTTGCTGAGTGTCCTGCTGTTTGCTGGTACTCATCACTTCATCGCTAAACACCATCAAAAAAATGAAATCGAACGTTTTCCAGCTCTTTTCACATTTGAAGAGAATTTAGATTTCAACTGCTTTTTAATTGTTCTGAGATTCAATGTATTTCTCCATTTATTTTGTGCAGAGTGATAAGGAGTAACACAGGCTTGGAAATGAAACACTGAAAAGAGATGTATTGACAGAGTGTTTGAGCTTTAACTCACGAGAAGTTTTTTGAATATTAGTGTCATCTGGAAGTAGCTCTGGAAAGACTCCTGGCCTTATCCCAGACTACATTTCATTCCTTCCTTTTTTACCTTTGTTCCTGAGTCAGTGGAGCTTCTTTGAGGCAATGCTCTCATATATGGTCTCTGGTGCCTTTGGTATAAATGCAATTATTCTCTAAGACAGCGTTCAGCTGGGCTGCAGATTTTAGTATTGCTTAGGTAATCTGAGCTGTGAGAATTTATTTCTGGGCTAGAGTAGATCTCCCTGGCGTTGACATCTTTGAAAAGGTTGACTACTTGAAATTCAGTTTTGCCTGGGTGATCCTGTCATGTTGTAGAGAAAAGGAAAGTGCGGCATTAACAATTTTTAATGTTTCGTTACGGAGTATTTATTCTGAAATGACACCTGAAGTATTCTATATTTCAACAAATTATTACTGGGGATGCATTTTGCTTTTGAATTCATGGGATGATGTTTAATTTAATATTCATTCGGAGCTACTCGGAGCAATTTACCATGACAACCAAAAATAATGAATAATATATTTATATCATCCATTAATAACCATCCATCCATTTAAAAGTTTCATCCTAATATGTTCTGGAAATCTGCAAATTAATTATGCAAAACCCTGAATGAATATAAAATTGAAATGCTTAAGAATTTAAATGATGCAATTAAATGCTATTGCATGTAACTCAAAGTTATTTTCTTCTAATACTTACTCATCAATCTTAATTTCAGTACCACCATTTAGAAACAGAATCAGCTTTTATACCTTGTCAAAATATTGGAAGTTTGAGCAAAGACTGTATTCTTTTTCCTTTGATTACATTATTTCCACACATGAATTTAAAGTCCTTATTTAAACAAAAGTAACCTTTGTAAAGACAGATTACAATGCTCATCAAAATAAGGAGGGTGAGGTCTGAGGTGTCATTCCTTGTACTTTAAAAATCCTAATCAATCCAGCCATGAGAACTGGTCTCAATCTGTAATTAGAGCTACCTAAAAATCCTAATTAAACTCTGTAGAGCTGGCAAATCAATACATAGCCAGTACTAATAAGCAAGATTTGCTGACCAGGCTGCCTGACAAGTTCATATCTTCATAAATATTTTTATTATTCTTACAGTTAGTTACCTAACAATAGCCATTGAGGAATAGTTTTTGCTAAAATTGACTTTCACTGTAAAATTCTGAATAAATAAGAAGTCATGCAAACTCTATTCCAGTTAAAAACCAGCACAGTGGTGCAGAAAATCAAAGCTGTTGAGTGTGTGCAGTAATTGTGCAGTGGAATCTTCAGGCAGGTCAATTGCTTTGAAAATGCAAAAAAAATTGTGATTTGAGGGAAGAGCCAATTTTAACACCAATAGAGAGGATATATGGACCCAAGGAAAAATACCTTGAAGTGTCAGGAAATTTTTGATTTGTTTATTTCTCTTTGCTTCACTAATATTAATTAGCTCAATTGTATTAGCTCAGTTGTTTTGACCAAGGCCGAATGACTATGTTTAGGTAGGTCTTATTTAGGTACTGTAAAACCTGAGAAGTACAAAACTCTTTAAGGATTTTTTATCCCAAGTTCCACTTTAAATAAGCCGTTAATGGGAGTGAGACAGCTTTAAAATCTTTCACCTGGCCTCATGGCATAGACTGGGAGACAGCTCATGATGCTAAAGAATCTTATCTTAATAAGTCACCCTTACTGTTGAACACATTGACCTGGAAATTAAAGTTTTGAGACAAAGCAAGAAACACAGAAAATAAAAACCTGGGTGGAGACAAGCTGTAAGGTAGGCAAGGCTGAAATATTTGTGCTAGAAAAGTTTGAGAACACCGTGGTTTAAAGAATCTGGTTTAAACTCTGTGGAGAATGTTTTGCCAATCATTTTGAAAAACAACTTGAGAAGGATATCAATCTTATAGAAAATAGATTTTTTTTCTGTATTGTTTTCTTGCTCTTTTCACAAACAATATTAAAAATACATGTATTACAGTAGTAAATTGTCAGATTTGGCTGTTTTCAAGCCAACTTTAATCTAATGAAAAATGTGGGGAAAAAAGTACTAAGAAAGTGAAGCAGGGTTTTTTTAATTATGTGCTTTTCATCAAGTAATGCTTATTTTGACGTTGCATTATCAGGTCATATATTTTAGGGTAAAATTAATTAATTATTTTTTCAATATATCCTTAAATAAAACCAGTCCAAGTCTCTCAGCAGAAACACTCCCACTTGAAATTCGGAGAACCTGTGTGTTACCTGCAGTTTTGCAGTGCTACAGGTGTTTTGGAATGTGTCATTACACCCTTACATTATGTTCCATGTATCAGACAAAATCCAGCATTTGATCAAGGTGCTGACTGTGAGGTTTTTGTCAGCTGGTACTGAAATTTCTGTGTGACATTATTTGGCCTGGAATTTTCATTGATTCGTTTCTGGGTGTTTTTTTTTTAATTCAGTAAAAAGAATGTGACTTTATTCTAATTCTTTTGTTTTGAAAGCAGTGCAGTGAGTTGGGCAGGACACAAAGTTTACGCAGCTGTGTTGTTGCTGATTAAAAGGAGGATGTTTTCTCTTTCTTTTCAGTGAACAACAGAGGGGAGTACTGAAACATTTGGGAAGAGGAAGCCCTCTCCTAATAAATGGATGCTGACTGCATGTTGTAAAACAGCATTGGACTTTACTGGAAAGGTAATCGATGTCCTGGTTTCCATCTTACCAAAGTTCTGCAGTCTCATCAGAAACACAGGAATAAATATTTCGCTTCCTTCCCCTTAACCCCCATCACCAAAGCTTTCTGGATGCAAGGTGTTAGCCTTTGCATCAGTTTATTGATCCTTTAATGTAGGATCTAACTTGCTCCAGGGGCACGATAAATACAATATTGCAAAAGTGCTGCCATATCAATATTCATTTATTTTTATCGATTAGTTGCCACTTGTAAATTCTGGGTACTGAATTAATGGATGCTGAATAACTGCTTCGATTAATGAAGCTAAAATTGGCTTTAATGTCCTACACTAACTACAGATTTTTTTTCTTTATTACAAAGCTAATTATTTCTTTTTTTACAATCTGCAATTACTTTCATAATTTGACTTATCCTCGGCTCCTCACTGGAAGCCACAGAGTAACAAAATAGAAGCTATTTATAAATGTTCATTATTTAAAGCATTACACAAGAACATCCTTACGCTAAGTCCCTATTAAAACACTGGAATTAGTAGGTGAATTTGACCAAATTAATGCCTTTCAGAAGGTGAAATTTTAGAAGATGAATTTCAGGTGCTGTTTTTTTGTGACTGTTTTGGCACATTCTGTATGTGTCTTATTCATTCATATAATTATTAGTTTTTGGAGGAGATACAGCAGAAGGTAGGTGAATACATGCATGAATATTTGTTCTGACACATGGTCCAAGTGTCATAGTGGTGTTGTCTTTCCTATCTCCTTTTCTGCACAAAAAGTTCCTTCACTATTTATTTGACATTTGATTTCTATCAAACTCTACCTTTTGTAAAAGATATATTTTCCTTCTTCCTCAGTAAATATAATGTGGGCCCATTTTTTACTTTTCTGAGCCTTCCTTACACACAAAAACCCTGCTGGAGGTGAACACTGCTAGCCCTCCACAGCTGGCCTCAGCACCAACATTATGAGAGTCACTGGGACTGTGTGTAAGCAACTCATCACAGTGGGAAAATAAGGCTTCCAGATCTGTATGGCAAACCACTTTGTTAGAGCTGCTCTGAAAATGTGACACACCGCGGTGACTTGACAGTGTTGAGGAATGCAATCAGTGCCAGGTGCCCAGGGGAGACACAGCAGGAGATGAGGACTCCAGGCTGTCAAGCACTCAGATTTTGAGAGTATAAAAACCAGGAATTCCTTGGTTTGGGGTCCCTCATTTCAGGCACCAAACTTAAGCTGTTATTTTTCTTATTGCTCCATGAATAAATTGTTTTTAGGGTCATGATGTCTGAGACTCTGCTATGGGCTGTCCTGGGGTCAAGCCAATGAGGAGAGCTGGTCTGAGTATGGAGTGCAGAGGTGTGACTCCAAGATGTCCAGACAGGAAAGTTTCCTTAACAACTGCAGTTCTAAGCTCTCAGGGGTTTAGTTTTTATTTGAGAAATAGCCCTGGTAAGGTATCTTTATCCATTGCAGTATTTGTTCCTGTCCTAGACCCTTTTGACTAGCCTGAATTTCCATCACACCTAATCTTGATGGGTTTATTTAGATATGAATCTATAGAAGACATCAAAGGGTATGACTTGTATGTGTATTTATAGTATTACAGTCCATTGTAATGAACATTTTTCCAGTGGGAAATAAACTTAGCTTTAAAGTAAAAATAGGGAAAAGCTTAGATGGTTCCTTATCTATTTATTTACACTTCTGTACTTAAAGTATTTAACCATCTTCTGTTATATTTTTGGTCATCTTCGTTTGCTTGGGGTTTTTTTGTGTTTTCACTTATGTGACAGTGTAAATGACATCTGCTTCACTCCTTGTGGAGGGCTAAAGTTATGTCCAATTTATTCATGCATTTCTAGACACCTCTGTTAAACAGGAGTACTGAATTCTGGGTTGGTTTTTTTTCCTCAGTAAGTTGTTAGATTGTATTACAATGCTGTATGGAATGCCTTAAACTTGGATAAATAAGTAACACAGACATGGGCTTGCAGTGATGAGGGAGGTTGTGCTGTGACTTCTTGATTGGAGCACAGAGATGTGATGGCAAATACAGAGGCTGCTGTGGGAAACTGTCCTTAGGTAGAATTAAACTGACAAAATGGAAGGGCAAAGGCCTGTTTTGGAGACTAATGATTCATGAATGTCAAAGTTTAGGAGGGGCATAACAGGACCCAGGCATGTGCACTGGATTAACAGATAGAAATGGTAAGCTTTGGGAAAACTTTGGAAACATTTTCTTCTCCAGACTCCACCATTTCATTTTGCTTAGATCAGTTTCCACCAGCTGCTCTTCCAGGAGGTGATTTTCACCTGGCAGTCAAATTCCTGTGGAGGAATACAGGCTGAATGTGCTCCTGTTACATGACCAATTTGCAAATACAGCAAATGACACACAATCAAACTGAATCATGCTGGCAGATACAGCATATCCTATCTTACAGTTTCTCCCCAAAGAGAAAATCTCCCAGCCTCTCCCAATCAAGTGAAGCCACTTCATATCAGACAAGAACATGGTCTTTTGACTTCTCAGGTATCTTAGTAATATGAATGTTTATGACATCTGCTCTTAGCTACAAACTTCATGCCTTACTACATGGCATGATGCCTTGTAGTGTAATGTGATTGATACAGCCTGATCTGCAGAGCTCACAGTGACAAATTATCTTGGGGAATGGGTGAAAAAGGACAATTTATTTGATATTACAGTCAAAGAAAGAGTCTTTTCAATAAGAACAACTGGTTTAAAGAATTACCAAGCACTGAAGAGGATGTGCTGTTACATTAGATATTGGAGTTTGTGAGTTTTTAAGAAATAATTAACATTGATAAGAAGTATTTAAATGACAGTCTCTGTATAAGATTGTGTTCTGCTGTGTTGATATATCCAGTCCTGGCTTGCAGGTGTGACTCAGGCACGTGGGGTAGAAAGATGGAGCTGTTCTCGCAGCAGCTTTGCAAAGCACAAATTCTCAACAGCTTCTGCTTCCAGGAGAGCATTCCTTGAGTGTGTACCACAAGAAAAAAATAAACAACCATGGACAGATTAATTAAACTTTTCTAAATTTCATCATATTCATGTCTTTAACAGAGAAAGTCCATGAATTCATCACTGATACAGGATGTACAGACTTAAGCTTTTATTTTGAAGTCTATAACTTTCCTACTGAGTAACGTAAGTATTGCACTATCTTATGCCAGAATTACCCTGTTTATAAAATACTGAAACAGATGCTGCTTGCTCTGTAAAATGCTTTCAGATCTATGGTTTCTGTGAGAGGATTAGTTTGTATTTCTGTCTGCAAACCTCCTTATAGTAATCAAAATCCCAATCATACCACCAGTAATTTTAAATTTTGGGTTTAATTCTTTCATTAAGGTCAGCTGTCTGTCAGTCTGCAGACAACACCACGGGCATTGATGTGTCTCAGAAGCAGCTCCATCTCCTCCCAGCCACAACCAAGTGTGGTGGTGCTGCTCCTCCCTCCTGTTCCTGAGAAAACTTCCCTTCTTATTAGTCAAGTAAGTCATTTCAGTGAGTCAGACAACGGTTTCCAAAACAATCTTTGGGTGATGGCTCTGCAAGCAGTTAAGTGAAAAGAGAAATCTGCTGTGCAAAGCTTCTTTGTTTATTGCTTTTGCTGACTGGCTAAAAGTGAGGTCACAGCAAGCTCGGAGGGCTTGATAGAAATGAAATAATTTAACTGGAAAATACATCTTGAGAAAGATGACTCTGCAAAATGCCACACTTAGCAATCTTATATTCATACCTTTAATAGTTGTCATTAAAATGTGATTATCTATAAATGAAAATGTGTATGGTTTCCAGATTTATGCAACTCAAGCATATTGCTACAGTAATTTTGCATGAAAATGCACCAAGGTATTCTCAGCCAGCATCAAAATTAATCAATGAAAGCAAATAATTTCCATTCCTAGGGTGATCCCAACTCCACTGATATTGGGAAATCTCCCAGTGGCACAGAGTCATGAAATAGTGGCAGCATTCTCTTGCTGCTGCTGGCGCATTTACATGAGCAAAAGCAAGAGTCTCTTTTAGGAAGTTCAAGAGCCAGATATTATCAAATCATATTTATATTGGCTAATTTAACTGTTGAATAAAATTTAGATGATATCTGCAATTCCTGAAGTGTAGAAGTTCAAAAACTCTTGGATTTTAGCATATGGTGTTATGCATCCCAGGAAAGTGTGGATAGGAAAGTGGATTCCTGTTCACACACTTTTTCAAAAGCAAAAATGACTAACTTCTAGACTGGAGATCAGAAGTCAAAATTTGCTTCTGTAATGGACCGTGAAGAGTAATGATACCATCTGCAGTATTTTTGTGCAGATCTATAGAAATCTGTGCAGAAGAAATAAAAATGGCATCTGAGGTATTTAAAAGTGAGCAAAGCACTTGTGCTTTCCTGTTCATCTCTGAACAAAGGCTAAGCTGCTTTGCTGCTCTTTCTTCCAAGAGTAACAATTTCCAGAGTGATGCCCATTTTTTATTTGCCATTTACCAATGCCAAGCCTGAGCCTCCCTTTCTTTCAGTGCTTGAAGTATATATGCCTTCACTGCTCTGTTTTTCATGATTTCTGCTTTTCCACTGAAGCTTGATCCTCTTAACAAGACCTGTATGGACTAATTTGCAGTCAAAAAGTATGGATTTTTTCGAGTAGCTGCATGTTTCTGACTTTTACCTATTGCACTGAGGCAGGTTTGTAAATGTGAGGCTGAATCATTAGCAAGTATTGCAATATTGTAAGTTGTTACTTATTATTCATAATTACTCTTAATAAAGTCTTGTTCACAGATGACTAAGCAAAAAAACTGAAATGCAATTGAAAAAAAAAAAAATTGCCAAGAAGGAGCAAAGTCTTGCTGACCTGTGCTTTAAAATAACAGCAACATTGTGAGTGGTGGCCTCAGGCAGACAGTTAGATGTGGACTGATGGGAGCAGACCAGTGGAAATAATTATAAAAAATTGATGAGCTTATAACATAATGCTATCAAGCACCAGCTGCACCTGTAGCTTTTTAGAATACAGGGAACTAGGAAATATTGACACAAAAATGCTTAAAATGGCTGGAAGCAATCTGATTCAAAAAAGGGGCAATATAAAGCTTAAAATAAGAGGCAGACTAAACTGCTGGTAAAGTTATCCTTTTAACTGAGCTGATTTTTATTAGACTGAATTCCTGTAAATCATCTAGTGCATGAAAGTAAAGCACCAGTGTAACTGGAACTGCATTTTGTAACTTAACATCTTTTATTTCAATTTAAGTACAGTTTGAACAGTACCAGTGGAGTTTTTTAGAGGAGGGGTGTTGCTTTAATGTAAGTTTCAAGACTAGATTGTCAGTGGTGAACAGTTTGAGAAAAGCAAACATTTTTGAAGGGATCTCTTCTGATTTTTTGTTTCTCCCTGTAAAGAAGAAATAAAACAGAGTAAGTCAGTAAGGTTGCTTTGAAGTGCTCTAGCAAGATTTTAAGTGCACCTGTTGATAACTGTCTGCATAGCAGAAGTACTTTCTTTTACTAGGAAGTGGGTGAGAGAAATAATTTGAAATTTTCATTTGCAAGATGGTGTTCATAGTAATAATGGCTATGAGTTGTCCTAGTCTTTTCAAAAAGATTTCTTTGACAAGCCTTGTCCAAATCAGCAAAGAGAGTTGCTAACAATAATCTCAGTTCATGAAAATAAATTTAAAAGACCACTAGTACTTTAAACAAAGTTTATAGGTATTCACTTTCAACCTACCATTGCTCTTTTTTATTTTTCCAATAATAATAATAATTTTAATAATAATAAATATTTTCTGTTGCATCTTCTTGCTTATCACTGAACCTATGGCACCATGGTTATGCTTGTTCTTTTATGGCCTTAACAGACACACAGGGAAGTTGTGCAGTACCTTATTCTAAGTGATGCAGTAACCTGTCTAAAAGAAAGAATTCATTAACACTGTACACACCATCTCAGTGAAAAGAACACAGTAATGCAGATTGGTAAAAGGTTAAGAAACAAACACCTTTACGATTTTACAGTTGTTATGAAAGTGTCACCCTTTTAAAAATGTTTTTGTTTGCTCTGTTTTTTAAGATGTAGTTAAGCTACATGAGTCAGAGTCAGACTAACTTTTCATGTGCAGGAACAGATCAAAGTAGTTTAAAAAGCAGTATTTGTATTTTGTTTCATTAACTTTCTCTTACTTATTCAGGCTTGATTCTTACTCATGCTTACCCACATAGCACTACCAAAAAAATGACCACACATTCCCTAGTCCCATGGCTTCCAAGGAAACCACTGCAGGAATTCATCAATGAAGTGAGCAGCAGTCTGAAGGCTGTGCACACCTGCACAAGGAACTGGGGTTTAGCTGCCATCCCACCATTCTTACTGTCTCCTGGCTTAGCACAGATTCTTGCCTTTGTTCTGGCTGTCAAAGC